AATGCAAATTTATTCAAAATTAAACAAATTTAACGCTTTTTATTTGTTACAACCATATTTATTGGGATTCCTATGATTATAGGTCACGTCAGCTAGTTTCCTATCCATGTATTTTATTATCCATGGTAAGATCAATCCTCAGTGTAAGTACCCAAATTTACCTCGGCTTGTCATTGAGTTCATTCGACTCGACTGGTAGCGTCTGGTTAGAGTTGGTTAAGCTTTGGATTTATAGGAATGCAACTACCTGAAAAATGCAAGGAGAACTTGACGAAGGCGAAGGGCCTTCGCTCGAAACGTCGATGCTTTCCTTGTGTTTTTCAGGTAGTTGCATCCCTATATAGCAATTCGAAGCTTTGTTGTTACAGATTCAAGCCTTGTGCGCGGAAGAATGTTTTTGTGTGTCATATTCTCTCATATATTTTTGGGGCTTCAATGCACATCATATTTTTAAATTGCTAATCCTTCAGATCACAAAGTCTTCGAATGCCATCATCTGCTGACAACTCGATGAACAGTTTAAGGTCATCACCTCGTCCTATGATTGGATATGGTAATGTCGAGACGAGAATTATTGAAGCGGACTATCCTGTAGCCAATAGTCTTGCATCCATAGCATCGAATGATGAGAGTGGTCATCTGTATTTATCCGGACGGCATACATCAACTGAACAGTCACGAGAGGAGCTCAATATCGACGAAATACATCATGAAACAGAGGAAGAAAAGTATGTACAAGTTGTACAGTTTGTTTGTATCAATTGTAATTTTATAATAATTTTAAAGTAAAATCAAATTAGCAAGGAAGTGATATCTAATATTGATCAAAGTCCTAATCATTAATAGCTATGGATATATAGTACATTATCCAACAATCAGTCAACTTGGTTGCCTCTGTACCAGATAAATTCGTAATTTGGTGAACTGATGCCGCCACCGTAAGTGATTCTAAAAAGCAAATGGTTGGTAATTTTGATCAGTGTCAATGGATTGACCATCCTTGTACAGAGAAAATAGCCTGGGTACGAGGTTGTGAATTGACGTGATATGAATATTATTCAGTCCAGTATAAAAATTATATATTCAAGCAATCTTGTATTCAAGCATTGGTATTTCATGCGAGGACCACAAATAGTTTGAAGAAACATACCAAGTAGTGCTCATCCTAACACAAACCCTAACCCTAGTTCTAACATCTCATGGCTGCAAACGTTAAGGCCCTGTCACACTATTGCGTATGAGAGAAACGTATGAGAAGCGTATGAAAATTAATGAAATAATTTTCATACGCACAAAAATCCTTTGAAATGCCAGCGTATGAGTACCGTACATCTGGCGTACCTCTAGCGTATTCAGCGTGTGCCTATAGAGTATGCTTATCGTATAAAGCATACGTCCGATACGCACAAAATTTTTGAACATGCTTAAAAACAGTTTTCTGCCTCGCCGTATGCCAGCGTATGCCACCGTATGCGACCGTGCTTGAAACGTATACAACCTATGCTTAACGTACCCCTAGCGTATGTCAGCGTATACCGGCGTATGAGTGATATTTTTCATACGCTGGCACACGCTAGTACGATACGCAATAGTGTGACAGGGCCTTTAAGGAGCCGGGCGCTACCTCCATAATATAAGTTGGTAACTGCGAATTCAGCTAACATGTGAAGGCAGTGGAGCTACCTTTCTAAACCTACTTGCTAACCACACTCCAAAAATCTGCGACGGTATTGACTACATGCAGTATTGCAGTACGTTCCATTCGAAGATTGGCTACCTCCAAAAAAAAAATCTTCGGGTATGCGTTATCTAACAAGTTTAACCAACTCTAACTTAACTCAAACTATTATGTGTACCTGAAGTGTTAAAGTTTTGTTGTGGCACCCTCTAATACTAAATACTTTCTACTTGGTCAGTTCAAACCTTGTTCAAGAAACAAAGAGTGAAGAACATCATATCACGTTGAATGGTGAGCATGAAAATACTGCAAGAGAACCAGAACCTTTAGTGAATGGAGATTTAATTGAACCCCCTGTCAACAAACAAGGTAAAGAAAAATTGTATCAATGACTGTTAATAATAATCATACTAAGTTAAATGTTACTTATGAAATAACCAGTAAGCAGCCTTTACACACTTTAGTCCGCTGAGTGTGATTATTATGTTTTCAACTTAGTACTGTAGTTTGTGTAGCCTGTAAACACGACTCTCGATAATTTGTGCTTTTGTACCTTTGCTTTACTATGCTAAGTGTGATTATTATGTTGTCAAAAACCTTTCAACGCGGGTTTTGTACCACAAAGCGCTAATAAGCGATAGCACAAGTGTTGGTGGGATTCGCCCTTAAGGTACTAGTACTTTTCTTGTAATAGTACTTCTAGTTTTTGCACATATTACAGTATGCTAAGTACAGGTATGAGGTTTTCCCACAAACTATTCAACAACAAAGTTTGGTTGGTGCCTATTTTTGCAGGGATGCCGTGCGTACACTCTCGTCTAGGTAAATCTATTGTATCTTAAGTTACATTGTTTTGAACAAATGTTCAAAGGTGTTGTGACACCACCTCCTGCGGCATTGTCAGATTCAGATGCGTATAATGTCAGTCAAGATTTAACAATTAGTCGCCGAAGGCGAGATGATTACAAGCCTATATTCACGAAGGCGAAGTGATATAGACTTGTAATCACCGAGCCTGAGGCGACTAATTGATTTAGTATAATTTCAGTGTTTAAAAGGTTTTATTTATAAATATAACTAACATGCTTGATTTCCTCGTTCTTCAAGGTTTTGTGACGCCTCCTCCTGCCGCATTATCAGATTCAGATGTGGACGATCCCAGTCAAGATGTCTTCAGTGAAGGATCATCGATCTCATCAATATCATCACCACTTGGCACATACAAGAGTGATGATTCTCTAGACAGAAAGGTATTACTGTAATACTCACATTAATATAAACTTTTTAATTTCTGGAATCCAAATGTAGTCTTTAAGTCGAAACCCAACAGGAAATAGAACCCAAGATCTCAAACGGTGGAATTGCGCAGTAATATAGCATGAGGAGATTGGGTACTATTAACGAGGGGAGAAGAGTTGGACAAGCACTTCAGACAGTCACCAATTATCCCACATAATCCTTGCGTAATACCACCGTTTTAGGGTGTTGCCTGTAGACGAGGCTTTTTGAGCTCCTCCTTGAAAGGATGTACGATGTACTGACTTTTTCAAGTAACACATTGTAGATTGAATAAATTAGATGGTGCGTGTATCTATCTCTGGCTAAACTCTTGTGAACTACTTGTTAGCATTTTTGTATTTTGTTATTCTGCAGCTACCTAAAGGAACTGCATACCACGTGGCTCGGGAAATATTACAAACAGAAAGAACGTGAGTATAGAAAGCACAGTATAATTCAAAAGAATCAAAAGATCTTTAATTCATCATGCACCGTAGTATAACAGCCTCAGTAGTTTGATGTGAAAGTATATTAAGGGCTGTGTAAGGTTAATGTAAAATCGCCGGCTGTCTTGTGGTTCCCAAGTAATGACGTTTAAATAATTAACACATAAATGAATTTGTATCCTTATAGGTATGTGAAAGACCTAGAAGTTATCACTATCGTAAGTGGTTTATGTATTATAAAACACGAGCTGGAGTGCTTTAAAAGATGAGTTTTTAAAATTATTGAGTTTTTAAAAATTACTCGGGAGGTGGATACTGGATAGTGTTTTTCGCGCAATTTGATTGGTTGCTCAACTCCGGATATCGTATAGTACTATTCACCTCCGGACCAAAACAAAATACCCGTTTTGTTCCGTTTACAGACGAGAAAATTTTACGGAGTACTTGCTGCAGTGTACCTTTACATTACATTATAATATCTACTTTAATTTTAGGCATTCCGTAATACAGTTTTTGAGAAAGAAGCACTACCAGAGGATGTGAAGGAATTGCTGTTTAGTAACTTTGATCCATTATATGACTTTCATTGCTTGTTCCTTGATGAATTACAACAGAGACTTTCTCAATGGTATGTACTTTATGGTTATCTTGGAAATCTTATATTGGATATCCACTGAAAGTTTTTATTAATTGTTGTGTTTGCAAAACACGGATTTAGAGAAAGGAAGAGAAAATACCCTAATCGTTTCTTTTAGATAACTAATCGCATCTTATTTGGGCAAACTCAAATAGATAGGAAAGCATTACAACATTCTGTTACATTTTCTAGGGAAAGTGAGGAAAGCTATGAACATCATAAGATTGGGGACATAGTGTTGAGTAATTTATTACAAATGAAGGTAAAATATTTTTAATGTTGCTGACAAAGTTGATTTATTTGAATACTGCAATTGATACCGATGATACGGGAAACAAAACGCCAATTCTGTCCCATTTTGCAATCCCATAATTCCTCATCTCCAGTGCCCCATCCATAAATGTGAAAAATTATCGTTTGATGAAGGTAAAAAGGCATGTTTCCTCCAGTATACAGTTACCATATTTTTACACAACAGTACGTAATATCAACATTTTAACTTTTTATTTTTCAGAAATTTATTGAAGTGATAAAGAACCATGAAAAAGTGCTACTGGCTTTATATAAAACTACGAAAAATTCGGTTGAGTTTGAAAAAATATACAAAGAGTTTGAGGTAAAGTATAGGATTTGTCATTTTGTTAGAAAAGCTTCAGTGACAATGAAGTATCTTGCTTCAATAAATATTTCTCGTATTGAATCGCTGCAAATTGCCTTAATGTTTACACCCACGCGTGCATTTGAAAGACTAATTATTTGTGAGAACACGGTAGTAGCTAACTAGGGCATTCGCGTTATCCGAAAATAGAGAGCTTTGCATTTTGCTACGACTACGAGATCCGTTATTTGGATAGCCGTGGCCAAATTGACAACGGGATTTTTGTCTCCTAGTAAAACAAGCATCTACTGCCAGATTATGACGTACGTACGTAATGGCGTGAGAAGATGACGAACATGAGCAAACAACGAAACTCGTACTTGCAGTAAAATCTAAATCTAACGGGAACATGGACATATTTGCCATACACTGTATATTGGGAGTTAGGGGGGAAAGCCCCAGGAAAAGTAGAACATTTTGAGATATTTAGTCCTATTTAGTTCAAAACTCTTATTTCATTCTTGCTACTGTCATTTAATCCAATTTCTGGATGGGTGGTGCAATTTTCTGTGGGTGGTGGGGTAACTCTCTGAGGGGGTGCAAAATAATTTTTGGTGGGATGTGTGCTCCTCCCCCGCATCCAAAAAATCCATCTATGAATAGGAATAAACATGACTTAGTGGATTAGGTCTATTTGCATGTTTCAATCGTCTAACATATTATTCATACTCTTTTGCAGCTTCAACCTGCTTGCTATCTCAGCTTCAATGCGTTTATTTTAAAACCTTCCCAAAGATTGGTGTATTACAAATTTATATTAGAAAGTGAGTATAGCTATGATTATTAGAGCTGTGTGGTTCCAAAATTTTATCTCGGTTCCGGGTTTTTTTGGAATGGAATAACCTCAGTTCGGTTTCGGTTATTTTCAAAAAAGAAGAACAGTACAAATGTATGAACTCATTTATGTATGTTTCGAGCATTTTTACTAAGTAGATGAATTTATGCATTTGTAAGTTTGTATAAATCTCTGAATATTGTAAAAGAACAATTGGAATTTATTTATGAACATGAAATATTTCTTTTTTTTAAAAAATTAAAGCAAGTTCACAACAATAACTATCACAACTAAAATATCAACTATTTGAGCACTTAGTACAGTGCATATTGCGCACAAAGAGCACAATCTTGTTATTTTCCAAACATTTCAACCTGCAATGTGGGCGTTTGGCGGGCGTTAAACGGGAAATTAAAACCGAAACTACCAGTTCTTTTGCGTATAATTTTTCGGTGCTAAAAAAGTACCGGAAGAACCGAATTTTTCGGTTAACCGCACAGCTCTAATGGTTATTAGATGAGTAGGATATATACAGCATAAGCAGCTGTGTTGACTGTTGTATCAGACCACAGTTTAATCAATGATATTTGGTGAGAAAAGTGAACTTCAATTTTATGTGAATCAGCAGGACGTTGTGTCAGCTATACAAACTGCCCAAAATCCCTGAGTATTTTGAAAGCAAACTGAAATCGTGACCGTGAAGGAATTTCCACTGCAAAAACATTTTGACTAAAAACCTTGAGTAAAATAATGGACCCATAGCCCGCGTGCAGGCCCAAGGGAACTGATAGTGGGCCTGCAAGCAAGGCCTGGTATTTTGTAAAACGCCCCTTTTCATAACACGCCCCATTCGCGCGTCAATTGTCAAAAAAGAACCAATGACAGCACCCAAATATTGACAAACAAACTCGCATTAAAATGTTGCGGGGTTTTCTCTACTTATTCAGAACATAAACAATGTGTAAATGGCTGCGTTTTAACTCCAAAAAAGCAAGCAACGCAGTCAGTAATTGCCAAATTTGCAAGTGCTCATTTTCAACTAAAATCGTAACAGAAAACCAGTCTCAAACTTCAAATCGTGAGGGAAGTCGTGCGACCACATTAGCATTCGCTGTCGCCATTGTTATAAATAAATTGTCTCCGTATCAGATCGTGTGTCCAATTCTTGTTGGCGGCGGAAAGTACGAAATTTATTTCAGTTATTTCATTTGGTAAAGAACTCTACAAAAGAAGAGAGCGTTCAGAGCAACCTCGTCCCCAGGGTCTTCCTCGTGGTGGCGCGTGAGCTGAGGAAGACCCTGGTAAAATACGATGAAATCTCCAAGATTCTTGGAGATTCATCGCATGCGCACTAACGACAACGTTATGTTGCTGACTACAATTAGCGCTGGCGCTTACGATTTTCTTGCTTAAAAATACACATGTTTTGTTGATTCTTTATGTATTTATTCTCAAAGTTTTAACAAATTTTAAGAAAAATACGTCAGATATAAGCTGTGAACACACATGTACACAAAACTGTGCAACATTCGTCATCATATTGTATCAATTTGTCGGAGTATGGCGCTCATATTTGTGACATTGTTTTGTTCGCTTTGGCAACCCTCGTATATATCAGATGCTGTTCGGCTTCAAATGCGACTGAATGAACACTGATAGTGTTGCCTGGAATATGAAATGATATTGACTGATTGTTCTGTATATCAAGGTAGGTACTGTACATTTATACTGAATTTATTCGATTTATTTTCACACGTTGCTTTCACATTTTCCCAGAGTCTCGGAAATCACATTTTCTATTAAACACAGTTTCACACATACAAGACTTCACTTCACACATACAGAAAGACTTCATTTCACACATACAGAAAGACTTTTAATCAAATTATGATAACAGTTATGATAATTATGATAACAGTAGAAATTGCTTAGAAAGATTTTATTCCTTTTTCCATATACAGTACAACTGTTATTTTGATTTTCTCTTTCCTATATTTTCTTTAATTAAAGCAGGTACTGTTCTGTTACAAAACAACTGATAAACATTTTATTATTTTAACAGGTGAACCATATTTTACATCAACTTGGGAAAAGCCAACTTGAATTCCATGGAAATATATAATCATGTCATCAATCAGATAGTAAACAATCATTAAGAATTAGATGGCCTCAAGATTATATTTCACATTGACCAACATGAAAATTTTTAAATGGGAATGAGTTGATGGCATTATAGTTTTCTAATGTTCATCAAGGTGAAGAAACTCACTATACCTTTCCCTGGTACAGAGCCATGGTAGTAATCTTAGAATATTTTCATGATGCCTCTGTTCAGTAGTTCTTCCCAGTCTAGTATTATGACTGTATTATTTTAAATAGCCTTGTTTGACTTTTGTATTTTGTTTCTTTAATAATACAATCATTTACAATGGTGAAAATTACAGTTTAATATTTGTATTTCTAATGATAATTACTTGCACATATCCATCACACTTCTCTGTTACTATATTACTACCATGCAAGTAAAATCTCTTGGGAAAAATAAAATGTTGTCCCAGGATGGTCATAAATATCAGCTAATAAAACTAATGAATATACCCATAATCATGTACATATGACTATCATATAATATGTTGTAATTCCTTTGAGTGTTTCAAATCAAATAAATTTTTATTTTCAGTTGTTCATTGTTCAAACTTATTTGAAACCTACAGTATATGTAGTTGCTATGATTCAAATTAATATCCAAAAGTGTGCCTTTTATAGACTCCACCCTAATACAGACACTTTATTGTGCCACTCCAATGTTCATTCAAAGTGATCCAACTGACATCTGAGCTGGTGATAATATACAGCAAAGTATTGGAACTAGGAGTATATCACATAAGTTGTTCATTCAGTCAAGATATCCAGGTTGTGCTGATCATCATATCAAACTCCATCACATATTGTGCCTTAAAAACATATATACAAATTTTAAAACTTGTTGCAGCACACTGGGCAATTCCATTTAATATAGCCCCCCACACCCTATTGAGGGGTCTCTTCATAATACCTTAAACATTTTGGAACCCCATTGGATGCAATTTTGGAACCTCCATGGATATCTTTCTACCCCTTTAGGATATTGTTCCTGCCCCTTTGGATATCACTACAACACCTAATTTTTTGGAAATCTCTTAAGCTACCCTCCAGAAAAATTTAAGGTAAAATCCCCCTCTCTAAAATCCCCATATAGGATATCCAGACCTCAATAGTGGGGCTATTTATAGATGGAATGGCCCATTTGACTTGGTGTGTGGCGACTACCACCAAAGCAAAATGAAAGCATGCTGCCCTGCATTCCATACTGTAGAAAACAAATAAATTTTGAAGCATTTATACTGTTACTTGTAACGATAATCAGAATTGATGAGAAAATTCTTTCTGTCTTTCTGTATGGCTGTATGTTAGTGATGTGATCTCACTGTTCATTATAAGGCTGAAATAGTTTGAAACTCGTGTGAAAATAAATTCAGTATAAATGTACAGTACCTACCTTGATATACAGAACAATCAGTCAATATCATTTCATATTCCAGGCAACACCGTCAGTGTTCATTCAGTCGCATTTGAGGCCGAACAGCATCTGATATATACGAGGGTTGCCAAAGCGAACAAAACAATGTCACAAATATGAGCGCCATACTCCGACAAATTGATACAATATGATGACGAATGTTGCACAGTTTTGTGTACATGTGTGTTCACAGCTTATATCTGAAGTATTTTTCTTAAAATTTGTTAAAACTTTGAGAATAAATACATAAAGAATCAACAAAACATGTGTATTTTTAAGCAAGAAAATCGTAAGCGCCAGCGCTAATTGTAGTCAGCAACATAACGTTGTCGTTAGTGCGCATGCGATGAATCTCCAAGAATCTTGGAGATTTCATCGTATTTTACCAGGGTCTTCCTCAGCTCACGCGCCACCACGAGGAAGACCCTGGGGACGAGGTTGTTCAGAGTCCAGATCGTTTCATTTCAAACGGCAATTTAATACCGTCTTCTGTTTCGCTCTCTCAGCGAAGCCTTGTAAATCGCAAAGTGTTTCGAATAGGCTTACATGCAACTGCATCTCAACATCAACCAAAAGATCATTTTCTTGAGGAACATATAACGTATCAACTCTGTTTGAAATTAATGAAACTCAAGTGTAAAGGTTACTATAGTTTACCCCAGTCGTAATGTTGCTATTCCAACACCTCACGACAAGCAATCCCCATTGGCATAACGGCAAAAACATCTCTTCCTTCAAGTAAACAATAAACAGTCTGTTCTTGTTCCATTTGTAATTGAAAAAAGTGATCAATTTTCGAATTTTAAGCTTATCGAGAGAATATCGAGAGCCTTTGTGATGAATCACTGACCTAATTATAGAATACAGCAAACAGCCAATCAGAATGCCGCGTTCGTGGGCGAACGCGGAAAGTACAAAATACCGGGCCTTGCTTGCAGGCCCACTATCAAGTTCCCTTGAGCCTGCTCCCTTGGGCCTGCACGCGGGCTAATGGACCCACAGTGACTCAAACTTTTGTGTAAAATTACTCAAATTTGGTGCGACTTAATAAGGAACAAATAGTTATGTTGTCCTTTCCATCAATCGCGCGATTGTTAAGTTAATAAAAAAAAACATGACCAAATTTACTCAATCTTTTTTAATTAAGTAAAGTTTCAAATTTACTAGTTTTTGATAAAAATTAATACTTACTAAAAAATGTGCTCATGAGTTTGAGTGATATTAACGGCTTATTGACCGAGCGTGAGGTCTGTACTGTGAAATATCAGACCGAGGTTTTTTAGTATGGACCAAGCGACGAAGGAGCGAGGTCCATGCAAAAAACAGAGGTCTGATATTTGACAGTACAGACCGAACAAGCGAGGTCAATAATCGGTTTATTATATGGCTGAACTGAGTCGATCTGTGAGCATATGCTTTTCGCGCGAATTAAATCGGCTATCATCAGTTTCACTGGGTAACAATATACGGTAGGCATGCATGTTCAATCAAAAACAATTTGGTTGTTTGAAATTTTTATCTGTAAATTTTAATGACACACAATTGGAAAATTAAAAAGCAAACAAATTTTCTGTTTGCAAAGCAAAAATTTCCCGCCAGATAAACGACATCCAGGACACCGGTCCAGATACGGAAAATACGGACCACGGTCCGGATATGGGTTTTTACGGACCGCTTGTCAACCAATCAGAATAGAGAATTTTGAAAAGCCATATAATAATACTCAATATTGAGTCACTGTAGGTGCATTATTTTACTCAAGATTTTTAGTCAAATTGTTTTTGCAGTGGAAACTCCTTCACGGTCATGATTTCCGTTTGCTTTCCCCATGGATTATTTATGGTACAATGATTTTTATTAACCTAGTTATTTTTTTATTCCAGAATTAGTTCAATATTATACAACTGGACATGTAGACTATCAAGACACCAAAGGTTTGACTTTATTTTGTTTACTTATAAACTGCATGTATTCCATGGCAGGAAAAAAGATTTTTCCTGGGAGCACAACCTGGAGACAAAGGTTTCCTGCAGACTAACGGAGTAGTCTTGTGCTAAATTTGCATAAACATGTAGTATTCTAGCTGCCCATGGTTTTCAATCCAAGGACTAATGTCTGTCAACCATATGTTGTTGCGCCCATAGTGGGACATGGTTGTTAATGTTTCCTTCAAATTTTCAATAGCAAATCTCCATTCAAACGAATTTACTGCAGCTGTTTAAAATTTTCTGCGAGCAGTGCTCGCGTGCTCGCTTATTTTTTCCACCCCTGATGCATTCAGCCCTTGCAAGTGACGTCACAACACACAATTGGGGCCGGTTGTTTGAAAGCGGGTTAGCTTAACCCTTGGTTAACCTAAAATTCAAAGAAAACTTTCCAACAGCTTGTTTATCAAACTGGAAATTTTTTCAGAAATTTTGCATGGACCATGCAATAGGAGTTTTCTTTTCTGGAGTTTTGTAATAAACAACGTGCAGAGATATACAAACTAAAACGACGGGTTAGCGCTAATCCAGCTTTGAACAACCGGCCCCAGCTCGCGTAATTTTGAAAATGGGTGTTCAAAATTTAAAACAATGGCTATATAATATATTATAAACTATAAGTGGGTGTATATGTTGTTGTCCTTGTATCACATATATTTGATTAGATTCCAAATTGGCTTTTTCATAGCTTTTAATCAGATAATTCCTTATATATGTAGCTGCTTTACAAGAAATAGCAGAGGTTCTTGGAGAACTTGAAAGCTGCACTAAAATACTGGTAAATTTCCAAATTATTCTTTCAATATTTAATCAACATTGTGTGTACGCTTTAGGACTGTTCGGTATACCGATATACCGAAAATATCGGTATTAAATCAATATCGGTATATCGATACCGGATATTCAACCATGCCGATATACCGAAATTTCGGATATACCGGAATTTTTCGGTATATCGTGTTAAATTTACCAACTATATGGCGAAACCATAACCTTTATTTTACTACTGAATGGCAATTCAGAGAACTTTCTACTGCAATCATTTAGAATTTCCACTTCGGTGAGATTTTACACTGAGTACGTGTCGTTCGAAACATGTTCGAAATAGCTTCGAAATTATCGTTTTCCCTTTTAGAATTACTCAAAATTTCCTTCAAATTCACCGAACATTCCTGGAACGCTTATTTCAATAGATACGGATAGTAGTGAACTTTAATTATAATATAACATTTGTAAATTCTGAACGCTGATTGGCTAAGAGCCGTGTTGATATAACTCCATGTCAACACGGGAAATTTTCCGCCGCTTGTAACACGGAAATTTTTCTTATTCTTCGGGCTTTTGACATTTCTATATTATAAAACAAATATAAAACATTTTTCCGTATTGATATATAGTTATATCAACACTCGTGGAAGTTGGGAAAACTCGAAATTGTGTGAAAACACTCCGCCCTTCGGGCGTCGTGTTTCCACACAATTTCTCGTTTTCCCAATTTCCACTCGTGTTGATATAACTGTATATCAACACGGAAAATGTTTTATATTTGTTAATTATAAAATAACATGTATATAACGCGTGCTCTGATTGGTCGAAACCCGTGTTTGGATCAGGCCATCCAAACACGGAAATTTAAAGTGCCTTCTCGGGAATTTTAAACTTTGTTGTTATTCGGCTCGTGATTTCGCGCGCTTTTCTTAACTCTAGCAACATTCCCGCGTGTTTGGAAACCATAAAGTAATTGTATATTACTGAACAAACGTAATTGTCCAACATTTACTGTAGGAAAACTACCAGAAGTTGATTGAGCTTGAAAGAGATCTGATTGGCTTGGAAAATCTTGTACAAGAAGGCAGAGTAAGATTTTCACGCATATACCGTAGCTATGAGGGCTGTTGCCACTACACTAGCCTGCGAACAGGCTCTCAAGCTGAATTGAGAGCCTGCATCGATGACTAATGAATTTGAATATCTGCGTCTCAAATCGTGACGCGAAATTCTCATTGGTCAGATGCGATAATTTATATTATTCCGCTGAGCTCTATATATGTCAACTGCAGCACTATGCATAAAAAACACATTAACTGATCAAATTGGTCTTGGCCATCTTATCTCAAAGCACGAAATGTTCTGTTTTGAGAAAACAGTATTTAAAACATTTAAACTTTTGCTTGAATATCTTATATTTCGAAAAACAGTATAAACTGTACGGTCTAAATTTAGTTTGCACGGTCTAAATTTAGTTTGCATGCACGAAAGTTGTAAACAACACCATATAAGGATAGACATTCCATATTTGGAAAAACGAACGTTACGGGGCAGATATTCAAATTCATTAGTTATCATCGTTGCAGGCTCTCAATTCAGCTTGAGAGCCTGTTCGCAGGCTACCACTACACTGCTCTAGCTCATTCATGGTGGATGTTGTCCCTACCACTGATTCGTGTGAAACCAACAGTAGTATGCTTCTGTCCCAAATGTTTAATTAATTCTTTTCAGCAATTCGTGAGAGAAGGATGTTTACAGAAAATTTCTCGCAGTGGCTCTCAAGCTCGTATGTTCTTCTTGGTAAGTATTGTAAAATAAATGTAAAAGTTGATATACATGTATGTATATTATAATAATCTGTTACACTTGACATTATATATCAAACATTTTTCTAATGCCAAAAGCCAAATAATTTTCTAGATTTTACATGATTTTTACTCGCATATCAGCGTTTGGTTTCTATGGTATTAGACATATTTTGAAGACACGACGCCACCTGAAATACGCGCATAAGAAACAATGTGCCTTGTACCATGCAGAGACTGCATCTCTTCTCCCGAAGTGCAGTACAGTACAGTACAGTACAGTACAGTACAGTACAGTACCAGGGCCGGATTACCCCTTGACCCCCCACCCACTTCCAACGGCATTTTAGACACTAAATTTCAACCCAGTTTATACCTTTAACATTATTATTACTTACAGGGGAAAAATAGCTAAACATAATACCGTCCATATGAACTTCTGCCGTCTTCCACAAAATTCAGCAATCTTTTAGTATTTAATGTGATTTTTTTGGCCTCGCTCTATGGAGCCCCTTGCCCAAAGAAGGAACAAAAAAAATTGTTTGCGGCCCTGCTTTTGGAGCCTCGCTTTTTAAACTTTGGTGCCTCGTGTTTTTCTATTTGGGGGCTTCGCTTTTAGGGGCCTTGGACTCTTTGGGGCCCCGCGCTGTTTGGATCCTGCGCTGAAACAGGAAACAAAAAACCGTTTCGATCCCGGCTATTTGGGACCTCGATTTTTAAATTTTGGGGCCTGACGTTTTCTGATGACCTTGGGCTGTTTGGGGCCCCGCGCTGAAACAGGGACAAAAAAAAACACGTTTGGGTCCAGCTTGATGGGGCCTCGCTTTTTAAATTTTGGGGCCCTCGCGTTTTCTGGGGGACTTGGGCTCTTTAGGGCCCCTCACTGGCGCACTGTTTGGGTCTCCAACTGAAAAATGGAACAAAAAAATTGGGAAAAAAATAGGAGAGAGTAAGCGCGGGGCCCCCAAAAGCGCGGGGCCCGTGGCATACGCCGCTTCTGCCATATGGTTAATCCGGCACTGTACAGTACAGTACAGTACAGTACCAGGGCTGCAAATTACTGTCGGACATCGGACAATGTCCGACTAAATTTGGCAAATGTCCGAGCAAAAGTAATTTTGATCGGACATTGGTCCGATCACAAAAAAATTGTCACATTATACATGTTTTTGCTGTGACAAAATCCGATTGCAAATTTACATTTTGCAATGAGGCATTCTAGCATTTTACTTAACGTTGCGCCGGAGTGGCTATACATACTTGTCTCATGACTTATATATATATATATATATATATATATATATATATATATATATATATATATATATATATATATATATATATATATATATATATATATATATATATATATATATATATATATATATATATATTGTGACGTATATATGTCCGATCAAATTTAGTGATGTTGGATTTTGTCCGAACAAATTCAAGTTATGTCCGACCAAAATTAAAAGTGATCGGACAAATGTCCTCATTCTCCTGTCAAGTCAAATATTTATTTGCAGCCCTGAGTACAGTACAGTGCAGTTGCCTGTTGTATATTTTTCTTCTCTTTTACATTCTTTATTTTAACGCAAACTTGGAAAGTCGTTGTTTATAAACTTGCGAGTAATTGTGCCGCCATTTTGTTTATTCATGATTAGATCAGTGGTCGGGGCGGGCGACAATTTTTCACTTGTTGCCCGGCGGGATACATTGCGTTTATGTAACCCCACATGACCACAAATAAGCCAATCAAGTTTGGTGTTCACGCTAGCTATATAACAATACAATATACAATACAGTATACAATACAATAAATACAGCACAGTATATAATACAGTATAGTACCATACAGAACAGTACACTACAATACAATACACCACAGTACAAATAATACGCTATATAGTACACCACAATACACTAGAGTACACCACAGTATACATAAGTAAAGTGCCCAATAAGGATTTAGAAGTTCCCCTTCCCCAGTCGTGACAATAACTTCATTCTTTCCAAGTTCTCCGATGTGCTGGTGTTCACAAGCAGAGGAGGAAATGTAACAAATCAGTTCAAAGTTCATGGAAAGTTTTCACTTGATTCAATGAAGGTAAAAATGACTTCATACTAATCCTGTTTGAATAAGTATCGCCTGCCTAAATTATACAAAAAGGTAAGAAGTTCCTAGCAAAGGCTCTGGTGGGATAAGGTCCTGAGCAGTCTTGGGCAATTGGCAAATGGCAACATTATCGATAATCTTGGTAAATTTAAGGACATTATCGAAAAATAGCGAACGGGAATTTTGGGCTTTTTAGCATTAATATTGTAATTAACATTTTGAGGCCCCGAAGTGCGTTGAAAGTTTCGGTATAGTTCAACCGCCACTGTATATACCGTATATCGAGTGATCTTCTTCGGAAATAATAGCTTTACTCGAAGCGAAGCACTCTGGCTTGGATATTGATAGCTATTGATAGCATTTATGTCTAATTTTTGCTTGAAACATGCTCATTTTGTAAACTTAAAGCCTGCTTATTGTTTATCTTAATACATCGTAGAAGTTTCTTTTGTTTCAAAGTCAGTAGTTGGACACTAGTGCTAGCAAATATAAAGAAACACACTGTCACTATGTACGATTCGAGTGAAGCCAGAAAATTCAGAAATATCGCTTAAATTGATGTTAAATGGTACCATACATGTTTTGTGAACAAAAAGAAATGATCTTTTTTATGGAATGCTGAACATATAATTTCTTGTTTTGTATAGATAGAGAAAGGTGAAGATATGCATGGCTTGTTTTGTTTCAACTTAATAACAGAAGATAATACTTACATGGTCGCTGCCACAACACAAGTTGAAAGATCAAAATGGATGGAGGTACGGGGTAAACTTATAAAAGATATTTTTACAGCTTATGCCCTTTTATCTTTAAGTTTTGTAGGCTGAATATAGTTTCGGCATGTTCAGATATGATATTGAGCTTTTTACCAATCTACTGTATGATGATGGTTAATTATTTTCACTTCATTTGCATGATTAGGATCTCAATGTAACGGTGCTGAAAATTAAGAATAAAGTAAGTATAGTTTAATGTCTTCATATATTGGCTTGAAACTACCGTCGCCTTATGTAACTTTATGTTTGCTTTGTTTTAGTCTTCACCAGTTTTGGAAGAAGGTACAGTAACAATTAATCAATTAATTAATTAATTAATTAATTAATTAATTAATTAATTACAATACAAGCGGACAGCTTTGTGACTTCGCTAAGTAAGAAACAGTATAGTGTGTTAAATAACTGGATTACTGTAAGTGATCTAATAAACGTCCATCTCCTATAATAATGCCCCATGTCCCGGTCAAACCAGAATTTTATAATATTGACGCCCCTCTCTATTAAACGTCTAGTGTCTAATAAACGCACCCTACTTACAGGAACGTTTATAAGATTTCATGCAACATTTATTAGAATAACGCTTGTTGAACTACTGATGGAGCATAAGTGTAATGGAGCGAAGCAGCTATGAATTTTGACCAATTTTCTTTAAGTACGAAAATTTAACACCCAGGCTTTATTAGATCATTTACAATGTAATAATAATAGTATTTTGAAACATTGAAACCAGAGCTACAGTATGTTTGTGCTCACAAGAGCATCACATGAGCAACTACAACAAAGACAAGTATCATTAAAATTACCTCAACTGTTTTCTTATACAGTGATGATTAGTACAGAGTCAGGACGTGAGGATGGAGAGAATGAAGCAAAGAAAGTTAAAGCGTCTACTCTTGATAAAAGACATGCATGTTCTCGTACTATGTCCACGAGAAGAGTTTGTTGGCATAGAAACACTAGCGTCAGCACTGTCGAATATAGCATTGCTGTCAGGGTAGGTGAAATACGTCCATTGTAGCATACCCTTCTGTAGGGTGCGATTTAAACTTTTCATTTAAATGTGTGCTGCCATATTTCTTGTCCCTCCAACATGAGATTTGTGCGACTAGACCCAGGACTTTGGGAAATGGCTAATTGGCGTACCAATACGTACCGGATAGTTGCCATGTACCACGTAGATGCGCGTAATTACTCTTACTGTCAGCGTACTTACATTTTGCTAGTACCATATGACCTTCCCAACTGCCAAGGTATTCAAAACCGTAATCCAACACCTTCGACATGGCTTGGTATGAATGTTAGAGTCAATTGCACAGAAAACATGAGTCTGTTTTACCAGCTTGGGTACGCGGCAATAGTCGTTGGACTGGAAATCTTGAATTTCATTGAATCAAGAATGAAAGAGCTGTTCCCATTTGCTAACAAAAAAATGAAAGTTTCATTGTGAAGACTGTTTTGGAAATTTGGTGTCGATATTCCCGTTTGCATCTTTAGATGATAGTAGTCCTTCGTGAAACAATATACAGAGCATTGAGTTATCCCGGTGGGTCTTATGTACATGTTGATGCAATAATCAAATTAGAGTTTCGCTATTTTCACTTTGTTTTATAAACAGAGGCGGACACTTCGCGAAATATTGGGGGGATTAGATTGCAAACATATCACCACCTTTTGTAGCTGGAAAAATTTCATGCACTATATTTCAATGCTTTCATTGTTGAACAATTCACATCGCGATAAAAAGTAGTTTCCGAGTTTTGCAACCAACGTTGTGAATGCAAAGTTTACGTATCACATGTCAAAATAAATTCCTCTGGCACTTTTGCCGTTTAGTGTGTATGATTAAAATGTGTTCAAAAATACCTTTAATTTGTCAAACGAAGGGCAAAATATTAGTCCTTCAACTTTATTTTGGTTTGTTATTGTCTTGTCTCAACACGAAAGAGAAAGTTACACCCCAAGTCATCACATTTTGACATGTGAAACTTAGAGTTGTCCAACCACAACGTTGGTTGCAAAACTCAGAAACAACTTTATCGCGGCGTGGGGTAACGCTCGAATGAAAATGGTGTAATGTTATTCAGCTATTATTCAAGGATTTTCAGGAAATTATTCGGGTGGCGGTTTCCCCCGTCCCCCCCCCCCTCACCCTATTATAAACAATAAAAGTAATAGTAGTCCGCACCCAAACCCCCGTGGGGTGTACTCCACGTTATTCTTCAAAGCATCTGTTGTATTTCCTTTGATCTAGAACCAACTTTCAGGAGAACTACAGAGAAAGTTTAAAACTGGAGACAAATGGCAAAAGTTGTTTGTTGTCCTCACAAACTTCTGTTTATTCTTTTATAAATCACATGAGGTATTTTAGTTAATATTTATTATGTGTATGCTATTTTAAAAGGACGTTCTTGTAGATAGAATTGGTTGTGAATTTTATACATATATTCAGAGCTAATCAAGCTGCGAAAGAGCGTGCACTGGAATCACAGGGCCGCAGATTGGATTCCTGCCAGAGGGCGTATATAGTTGCATTTTAGCAGCTGCTGCTTGGGTCTGAATAAATGTATAAAATTTGCAATCGAAATTCCCATCTCCAAAATTCTTCGACATTTAATGCTACAAGACTATACCCTATAATATATCATATTCAGATTTATTTCAGAAACACTGTGACCGTATATAGTACCTTGACTTTATTCAATACAAAATTTCATTATTCAGGATGAAGAACCATTAGCAAGTCTTCCTCTGATTGGATATGCCGTCACAAAACCAGATGAAGTAAGTAAATGTGAATACTTAATGTTTCATAGCTTTTTCGCGAGTTTTTGACAATAACGTGTGTCAGACATGCATATAATATACATGCATCCGTATATATAGGTGTGGTAGCAGCTATAGGCCTTAACATTTATCATTGGCAGTGTCGCCGAGACGTTGCGCGAACCCCCGGGGCAAAACTTTCCCAGGGGTCCCATGACGTCATAATTGTCAAAACAGGAGAAGTTGTGATTTACAATATATTGCACTTTATGTAATATATCAAGTCCGACTATGAGGACTTTGCCAGATATCCAGTCCGTGCAATTAGTTCTAAACTAATTGTAATTTGCAAGGACTGGATATCTGGTTCAGTCCGAATTGTCGGATTTGAAATGACATTTCATACGAATAAATCACTACTTAAAGTGCAGGCCTTAAAATATCTTTTCCAGGGCCGTCTGACAAAATGTCCGGTGACGTTGAGTTTGGGTCGGACATATGTCCGATGACCTTCAGTTCAGTTTTGACTCGGAAATAAGTCTGAATGACACAAATGAATAAACGGTAAATGTTGTAAAGATATTAAATAATTTGTTTCTTTCATAATTATTTCCAAGCCAAAATTAACTTGCTTGCCAGAACAGCAGTATTAAAAAAGACTTCGACAACTTAAGCCCGTTTTCCACTTCACCATTTCGCTCGCCGCCCCGCGCTCGACTATACGTTAAAACAACATTTCCAGTTCACCTTTTATACAATAGTACTCTGATTTTCCATTTAACATACAAGCCTCTAGTCCTGGGCTAGGGTACAGGTACATTTTGATTTACGGCGGACAAAGCTACAGTTCGGTCGGACACCAATACACTCAGGTCGGACAAACAATAAACCTCATGCAGTTTCACTTTGGTCGGACAGAATGTCCGGTGGTTTCCTCTCTACGTCGGACAATTTCACGAATGGGTCGGACAATGTCCGTGACCGACCGATATTTTAACGCCTGAAAGTGAGGTGAATTAATTTTGTTCCAGTCCAAGGATTGAATTAATTTTGTTCCAGTCCTAGTACTGGACCAATATACCTAATCAGGTATCCAGTCTCATCATGTGAGCAAAATAAAGTAATATGGTTGGCTAATTTACTCATTGATTATTAATGAGTTTGAGATTGAATATTGTCTGGCATTGCAGGCCTTAAAATATATTTTACAGGACCGTCTGACAAAATGTCCGATGACGTTGTGTTTGGGTCGGACATATGTCCGATGACTTCAGTTCAGTTTGTCTCGGAAATAAGTCTGAATGACGCAAATTAATATCAGCATAATGTATTCATTCTGAACTAAATGTTGTGAAGATATTAAATAATTTGTGTCATTCATACTTATTTCCAAGCCAAAATTAACTTGCTTGCCAATGATAACAGTACGACTTCGATAACTTAAGCCCGTTTTCCACCTCACCATTTCACTCGCCGCCCCGCAACATTTTCGGTTCATTTTTATACAAACTCTGGTTCTGGACTAGGATACATTGCCGTATGCACAGTTCTTTAATATAAACTTTACTTATTTTTTCCAAAATCTAGAATGATAACATCAATAAAGAATTAGTGATTAAACTTCAGTACAAAACACATGTTTACTTCTTCCGTGCAGACAGCGAGTATTCATTCTTCAGGTGAGCCAATATATTTCATCAGTTTTTTCTATATCTAGAGTGAGTGTTTCTGCTACATTTGCCTGAATGGTTCTTTAACTGTACTTATAGACAAGACAATTTATTGCTCCACGTTACATTTTTTACATTATTAGTAGATTATTAGTAATGGAGCTTGGCACCCCCAAATAACCAGAGTGCAAAGGGGCAAGGTAACACAAGTATTATAAGAAACTACTCATAAACTACTTTGCTACGTACTTTCCAGTTCTACAAAATTATATATACTGCAAGCATCATGTACACATTTTCGTAAAGATGGCCTTTGATATAACAGAAAATCAAGGGGTCGGGGAAAGGACAATCGTATAATACTAGGAGTTACTATCGCAATGAAAATGCTGCCGATATGTACATGTAGGATGTGCTACAAAAAGAGCGTTTTTCACTGCATGTATGATTTATTGTCTTACACACCGTCGTTCCTCAGTTACCTTCGTACAATTATATCTTACATCTAATCTTATGAAAAGTATATTTTAATATACTTAACAGTGCGACTTTGATAGTTGACACATAATATAAATGATAAAATGTGAATATTATTGAATGATTTTGTCACTCGTACAACTTTTAATTTGGCTATTCAAACAATTGATTTAAAATAGTTGAATTTATACTTACTGGGATGTTATTGCTTATTGGGATGTTGAAATTATGTTTGTTTTAAATACATTTAATTGATATTCCATAAATTCATTTTGTATGATTTCATTGACCTTGACGTTGTTCAAAATAATTTTGTATTGTATTGAAACTGTATGTCTATGACCTATGTTATGTACTATATTAACCCATTGAGTCGCATTGCACCCTGATGCACCCTACTTTGAACAGTATTTTACTCTGTCTAACGCCAGACGATTTTACTCGTCAAGGGGAGAGTGCTGGCGCTTAATGGGTTAACTGATCTATCTGCCCATGTGTCTAGTTAACCCATTGGGTCGCATTGCACCCTGATGCACCCTATTTTAGTATTTTACTCTGTCTAACGCCAGAGTATTTTACTCTGTCTAACGCCAGACGATTTTACTCGTCAAGGGGAGAGCACTGGCGCTTAATGGGTTAACACGCCCAAAATCTGTACTAAAACTGCTAATTCTGTTTTGTGATTGGCACAGTTTAATCAAAGAATCCTCCCGTTGAACCAGAGCCTTCACGATATTTCAATTTATTATTAACTGAAGGCTCTGGAATCCAGGATAGCTTGCCATTGAATACAGTGCAATGCTTATATTTCTGAATGAATAAGATCATACTCAGAACAGTCAGAACTGCAAAACTATATTGTTAGAAAGAAGTTGAAGTTGTGAGCATTATTGTGGTAACACAGCCATATGTATATATCAATGTATGTCAGTAGAATCATGTTTATAGGCTTTATATATAACTGAGGCAGTCTTATACAAGTCATATCTTATACAAGTCATATCTTATACAAAAGTCAGTTGATATGCTATATTACATGTAATTGCTGATAAGTCCATATATGCAGACAACAATCCAGGAATCTTGTTAAGCCTGATTTAACAAAATCCCGCGTTTGTTTTTAAACTATAAACATCTAGAAATAGAACGTACCGAACACTATTATATACTCACCGCCTTTGGCTTTGCACATATTAAGTGACATAACAAACAAATAAACTAAAAGTTCATTTGCTTCTTGTATCAGCATAAAGGCATTAATCATTACTGTCGATTTGGTCGGGAATAGATCAGTGATTCAGTGGGTATTATTATTATAATTGCCGATATATTCTTGAAATCATATTGTTTCAATGCCTCTATATCGAAGTTTAATACACTAAAGTGACTAAACAAGTATAAACAGCAGATTTAAATATAAATGCCTTCATGTATTATAAAATATATCACCAGACAGGTAGACAGGGCACACGGCACGACTACATCACTATACGAGAACGAAATAAAGCCATCCTTACCTGAATTATTCAAAATATTGTCGATCATTCTTGCGCCAGAGACACAAAATAACACCGTGCTTTATTTACCCATTCATCTTCACAAATATTACTCGGAATTTTTATGGAAATTCGCATTATTTTATGATTTTATATTTCTGTCCGTTTATAACAGTCGCCATGTTGTGAACAACCCCCCCCGGGAACAAAAAAATAATATCAAAACAGCTAGTTTTGGCCCGTCCGTGGATGACAGAATGACATAAATCGAGATTGTAGCGGCTATAAACTCGGCGGTCACGTGGTAAGCACACCTCGTGTAGAGATTAGTGTGCTGCCTCGCTACGCTCGGCAGCAACTACAGTACCTATCCAAATAAGCAAAATAAATTATTTGTTTCTGTTTCCAAAAGGCAATATTATACCAAATACAATTACAACTGTGTTTGGTTTTGACAAAACACAAACCAAACAGTGGGCTCGATTATCGTAGGTCTGAGCCTCAGCCTCATTTTCATGTTAGAGTTTATTATTTTCATAATGAATTAATGAAATGGTTAATCCATCAGTGGAAATGCTAATTAGGAATATGTTTAATGGATTTATGAAATAAATTATACTAAGAATTGAGAGGAGTGGTTTGTGTCCTAGCTTCAGGTATGCTAACGAGGTTGAGAAAGTGCAAATGTAGTACAAAAGGGGAGAGGTGGTGTTCTCGGCACTCGAGAACAGCAATAATATATATAGTAATATCATAGCTACTTCGAAATCCTTTGTTTCGCGAGGGATGATTAATGACTAATGTACGTCATTGCTAAAACATGAGGGACGAGTAGAAACTAATCATCCCACGGAACGATTATAGTTACTAATCGTCCCTCATCTTTATGGATAACCTCTTATATTGATGTTCAATTAAATATTTAGCAGACATGAAAAATCAACCGTAACCTCATTAACGAACATCCAATAGTCATTAGTATCAAAAGGCAAACGCGCCTTTTCATTTCAACTTATTGAGTCGAATGAAACCATTTTATTGTCTCGGTAGCTATATTACAAAGTGATAGCATGGCATTACAGTCGATTAGTGATGAAATGTCCCTCAAGCCTCGACGGACAATACCAAGCCTCGTCAATACCCAAGTGCATGCATGATGCATGACCATGAAATACTACGATCTATCCACGGTCATGGCCTCCATCGAATTACCTCTTCAACGGTACTACAACCCTAAAAA